GTCCCCTCTGCAATTTCTAACGGCGAATGCAGCCCATCGTCCCGCAGAGCAGCTCTGGGCCCCTTGGTGAGGTCCCTGGGTGACTGCTTGGGGAGCCCTCCTGAGAAGTCAAACTCACCAGAGGAACAAGGTCAGGCTTCCTGAGACCTGGACTTAATTATGGATTAATTATTGCCTGCTTCCTGCTCTTGGGTAACAGGGCTTTCTGCCATGGAGAAACAGCTTTGCTGACTCTTCCCCCAGTCTTCTGTTCATGAAGTTCACAGGAGCTCAGAGAAATGTCTTTGCTCGGTGAATATGATATTTTAATCTCCAGGGGTGGATTTGGTTGAGTTGATGGGATTTGAGCTGTTGGGTTAGATTAGCTCGTTAGAGGAGGAGAACCAGCAAAGCCTGACTGGGCTATCGCTGAGCTCTGGAAGAAGTGTGCAGATGTTGCAGCCCACTGCTGAGTCCCAGTGCTCCCCCTTGCCCACAGTCTGTGGCCAGAGGGTTTTGCAGGGTCTTGCAAACCCTCTATAGGGTCTTGTGTTGTGCTGCAGGAAGGTATAATGCTGTGGATTTTCTACTGCCGTCATCAGCTTTCTTCACGCTCTCTTGTGAGGTTTGAAATGCCAAATGTAAGTCATCGTCCTCCAGAAATCATCCCTCTCTGCTGAGGACCAAGCGGTGCTTGCAGGAGCCCCGTGCCTGCCATAGGTGTAGCTGCTCAGAATATGGCTTTTGGGGGAAAAAAGGTGCCTCTGTGAGCTTCTTATTTTCAGATGCAGGTGTAATTCCAGCAGAGTCTCTTCAGAGAAGCATCAGCCCGCTCAGTGCCGGTGTGGCAGGTCAGCGTTTGGCCCCAGGTCTGTTGGTCTGCGGCTTTAGGTGGAAACCCACATGTGAACCTCAGCAGAAGTTCAAAGGGGTGACCTAGCAGCTCCTAAAACCTGGACTTTGAATTAAAGAATAGCCATCAAAGGGAAATGCTGATTAAGAAGCATTTCTCAGAAACACTGAGATCCCATTATCTTGACCTTCATCTTCTTAGGACAGGGCAGCGAGTGATTCACCTCCAATCTGTCCCTTCCTCCAGACAGAAAAAGCTGGCTGGGGCTGTAAGATCAACAGAGGGATTAAGGGAAATGTAATTGAACATTGCTAGCTTAGGCGTAAAGCGGGTGGCCTCTCTCTCTGCAGACCGCCAGGAGTGTGGCATAGCGGCCAGTGGGGTCGGGATGCACCGGAGATGATTACAGTTGGGCTAAACAACCAGATTAGCCAGGACACCCCTTGACCTCTGGTATAGGGAGCCAGGAGCAGGTGAGATTATAGCCTGAGAAGTTGAGAACTGCAACACTGGCATTAGTGGGAGCAGGATTAGATGCACCAGAGAATCTTGAGGGTCTTGAAGAAATCTATAGGGTTGCTAAGAATCTAAAGAAAACGCTGTCTTGGTCAGTCTAACCTGTATGCCTGCCTGGTGTTTCCCCATAAATGTTTATTCTGCAAAAGAGAAAATGCTGGGGACATGGGCATCAGCTCCAGGACCTTTGCCAGAAAGGAAAGATTAAATAGAGGGATCCAAAATAGGCTAGATTATCTGGCCCTAAGTATGACTTAATAAGCATTATACTGGGACTTTGATGCTGTGATAATTAAAGAGCCGTTATTTACTTACACTGGGTCCCAAATATAAATTTGATTGAAGTAAGTGTTTATAAAATACAAAGATTCCCAGGAATGCTACCACCACAATCTTTGATTGGGGTTTGTTGCAATCTGTCCAGGGCTGTCCCACGTCTCAGTCCGAGCCCTGGCAGTGGTAAGCCCTTCCTCCTCCTCCCTGTCCAAGTGGGGACCCCCCGGTGCATCTCTTGGAGGGCAGGACTGGCATCCACGGTGCCTCCATGATAAGGTGATGGCTAGGAGGGCAGCATGGGCAGAGCCTGGCAGCACCCAGCTGGTTTGCCAAAAGGGAGTTAAAAGTCAGGGAGTTTTCTGCCCCCCATCAAAGTTTCAGTGTGTCTGGGAGCAATACTGTGAGTAATCGCCGATTTTAATAATAAGATCGGATTTTCTCCTGACATCGTTGGGGATAAAGGAGGATTTGTAGATACTTCAGCTATATTAAGCCATTATTACAATTGATTTATGGCCACAAAAGGGAAATGAGTCATTATTGATTTGATACCTCAGCAGAGGAGCCTGTCACAAGCAGGTCCCGTTGTGTTGTTGGGTGATGCTACAGCTGTGCCTCTTCCGAGACGCAGAGTTTTACGATGCCTCCAATTTGATTTGATGATTTGTCTAATGCGTTTTATCATTCCTAATGACTTCACGTTCCAGTGTGAATATGATGATTTCTTGGTCATCACCATGGCTTAAGCTGGACTGCAGCGTCCTCCCCATCCAGGGGAACCATGGGGCTTTCCTTCTGCAGGACCCCCCATGCCAAGGGTTTTCCAAAACCACCCCAAGTGTTAGCCTGGTCTCCAGGGTCTCTCTGCCAGCTGGTGCAAAGCCCACCAGCAGCCACCCCAGCCCAGGTGGGAGCTGAGCAGTTTTCCAGCCGAGAATCCTCAGTGATGGGCACACTTCACCTTCTTTCAGGAGGCTTGGGGCTGCAGCATCTCTTCCCCGCTTTTGTCCACGGGTGCCTGACCCATCCCCATATCTTGGTGAGGCTCATGCTGCCCAGAGATACCTCTTTTGGGCAATATTTCAAATCTGAGTGACTTTAAAAATTGTCGTGAAGAACAACATTGGTGCCTTTTCCTGAGGTGTTTTGCTGGGAGTTCCCAGTGCCATCGGTGAAGCAGCTCGCCTCGCCCAGGGGTTGTAGGGTTTAATGCATCAAGCCCAGGGAATAAACTCCAGCAGCTGGATGGTTTGGAGTTTTGTGCTTGGAGGAAGCAGCAATTGGTGCATATAGGAATGAAATTAAAAATTGTCAGAATCCAGTTTTAATCACAATTGGTTAAGGTGACTTGAGACACGAGGTCTTTTCCTAGAG